TAGGATGAGCAGGTTCATTTATTTTTTCATTTATTATTAAGTGCTTGAGGTAACTTCTTTCGTGGACTATCTTAATAAATAACTTATCAACTAAAAGATTTGTAAAAACACCGAAGTGTGTCCAGTTGAACACATCAAACACAACCATGCAACGGAAACTTGAAAACGCACAGTCATGTAGCGATTGTACGAATTATATTGATAACAAAAATTTCTTTTGATAAAAACGTCCATTAGATACTATATTATTATGCATGTATGACATATTTTTTCATTGTATTCAGCTACCGTAGTTAGCGACTGTTGCTTAAATCCAACGTTCGATTAAATGAAACTCGGTGGCACGAATTGAAGCTGAACATTTGAATACAGTTTTCTCCTTGTAAAGGAGCGAGGCTTTTCTAACATATCTGCTGCTCTTCGGGTCACAGCTACCGGTCGACTCCACATCGAATGTAAGTAAATTACTACCGTTATTTTACCTGCATAACTACGGGTTTAAGCCACAGCCATTACGATAATCCCATTGAAGCAACTAACCTTTTCAGAGGCTAATCCTACCCGGTGGTACCAGACAACTCCAGTCGCGTGCCGCAAGTGAATCTTACTTACTACCGTTTACCGTTTACACTAAACATTAAAGGGTATTGTCTACGGGATTTTAGTTGTTTCTAAGACTGGTCTGCCAAACCTCGGGATTATTCTCACATCGTTCTCAGAGGGATCCATAAAACTACAATAGTTGACGATGATAGTTAGAAATGTCAAAATAGTAGGATTAGGTCACAATTGCTGGCTGCTCTATTCGCTACAATTAAGCTACATTGAAAATCTTCAAAAACTATAGTTTAATAGGAGGAGTGTGGTTTAATTGTGTGCTGATGTTAATAGAGTGTTAGACATGATCCTTATTGTTCTACTGATTGACAATAGGATTGACGATTGATGCCACTGTTATGCGTTCAGCACCTTTTTTAATACACGTTAAAAATCGTTACCGATTTTGAAAGGCTATGTAGATTGAATTATCAACTTCAAAACTAAAAATTTACTTGAAGGGACCTTCAAATTCTCCAAAAGTTCTGGAGAATAGAAAATGCGAGAGTAAATAAGTAATGGGAGCTTTCCTGATATTTATGCATAACTGAAAAAATTTACATAAATAGGCATCTTATATCGGGCAAAGAAATAAGATCCATCTGAAATAATGCGATTAAGAAATTTCGATATATCAATTTGTGAGTGTTCTTGAACTTTTATTTTGAACAATAAAACTTTTGGTTGGGGTATAAGATATCCACTTAATAATAGCAATATCGATTTTAATTCTGCATACGCTTTATTGCTACTATTTAATAAATGTAAAATTATTAAAATTCATATAATCACAAATCTTTAAAGGAAAACTTTTATTTAATGTACCCTGTAAAAATCCTTTGAGGGAAAAACTAAAATAAACGAGTGTATTTCTTTTCTATATAAAAGTTGTTTCCTTCCACGTATAATATATATTTCCATGTTTTGCATTATTCATGTTAAATCCATTTCAGTTATAGGAACCCAATAAGAATTACTTTCAATTTGCACTACAAAAGTTAACAGGTGAACTTTGGAAAACTTTTTGAAGTGAAAATCGTGTAAGACTTTTAAATCTTCTGCTCATAAAGTGCATAAAATTTAAATATGAAATAAGCAAAAACTTACGTCGTACGCAGGATCTCAAAGGACTGCCTGAAAGCAGGTTAAGAGCGAGGAACAATGTAATTGGTCATGCAGCATTTGCAGCATTTGCAGCACACATAAAAAAGTTATTTTTAATATTAATATTTATGGAGTTTATCTCTAAACTGAAGCGGTAGTTCGCGTTCTAAGAAGCCGTCGCTGCTGCAGCACGAATACAGCACACATTTTCGTCCTCTCAAAGCAGTAGTCAGCAAATTAGCGATTTATTTGAATTATTATTTGCATAAATTTCTGTGTGTTAGCGAAAAAATATGGGCCTACCAGCCTATCAGTAAAAAACTGATATTCGCACAAGATGGCAGGCCGACGAAGGATGGCTCAGCACGAGGTTGCTTCACTCATCATAATTTAAGTGATATATTCAGATATTCAGAACTACTTTAGTGCATTAAATTGAAAGTCGCAGTGAAATTTTATTGTTTTACTTACAGAATTTTAAATTTCAAAATTTAAAATTTTTATTTTACACTAAATTACGAAGTAATTTCATTCATTTGGTTGTGTTTGATATCCTTAATGCCTAAAATCCAAATGTAACGAGTTTGTCCAAGTTGACGTGAAATGTGCTTTATTTGCATACATAATTGAGAATGAAAATCCTTTGAAAATGTGGAAGATTATATTTTATAATGCTGTGTTTTGTATCTTGCCGAATGTGGAATTCAAGTTAAATGTTCGGATATGTTGATAAGAGCATTACCACATGGTAAGTAGCTTCAAAAATGGGGAGACTTCCCAATCCTCGATGCAGTAATTTTGCATAGTTTTTTTCCACAATGCATGTATTGTTTGTGAATATTGGTAGAGGATTTTATATTTATTGCTAGAAATTAGTATGCATATTTATTCATAATTACAATTGTGAAGTGTTAATAATTTTATGTTTTCAATATCCAAGTCTTTATGGTATGCTATAGCACATACCCGAAATTTGAGAAAAACTTTTTGTAAAAACTTCCTGTTTAAAATTGGTTGCTTTTTTTATACTTTATATACAATATATATTCCATATATAAAATATAAATCACAGATAAAGTTACTATTTTTTTTAGGGAAGCATCTGCTCTGTTCCTTGTTGAACATTTATAAACTCTTATGTAAAATTGAACAATAAATGAACAATAATTTACAACAGGACTGTCCAAAGCACGACCCACGGGCCTCATGCGGGTCCCAACACATTTCTATTCTACCACGATTAGGTACATTTTTTAGAGAAGCATCTGCTCTGTTCCTTGTTGAACATTTATAAACTCTTCTGTAGAATTAGCAAATGAACAATAATTTACAACAGGACTGCCCAAAGCACGACCCACGCACCTCATGCGGGTCCCAACATATTTCTAATCTATCACAATTAGGTAATTTTTCTTTGTTATATTGTAATGACATAACATTATTCTATTTTTTGATATCCCACATAAATGCATTAAATTATTTTAAATTAATTTATTAAATTTTACGTTAATTTACTTAATTGACAAAGACTTTAGTGTGTGTTTCTTTGTACAACTGGTTCAAAAACTCATATCCAGGTTCGTAAGTCATCACATTAAATAGTATTAAATATTAAATATTAATATTAAACTAATAATAATAACTAAAACTAATAAAGAATTAATAAAACTAAATTTAATATTATCGCCGAATTTTTATTTTTATGAAATTTCGCATGTGGGCTTATTTTGAGGATATCAAGAAATTTCTGAAATATGGGCGTGATCTGCCTATTTTCACGCCCACCTGGCATACAAAATAATTGGTCAAAAATAACAAGCACGAATTAATCTAAATAAAATTTTGCATAAATAACTGTTTTCATAATATAAAAACATTTCCGAATAATTTGCATGGTTTGCGAATTTTTACGCACACATGCCCCACAAACTTAATCATCTAAACCAATAAATATTTATTAATTTTAGTGAAATCTCTCTCATACAAGTTTATTTTTTAAAAACATAATTTAGAAGATGCTTCCATCAGAATACTAAGAATCTGTAGTGTTTAATATCATTTCTGATATCATGATTTGTTTATTGTTTTCCTTTCTCTTTGTTGTGAAAAACTTGGTTCTGATCTTAATAATAGATGATGTATTAGGTCCGTATTTGTGCAATTCTGGAATTCTCTATATTCTTTACGTGTCTGCTTCTAAAGCTTCAGATAATACTCCAATAAGAAGATCATATGTTCTTATTATATCCATTCCATGAATAAGTACTTTATGAACACTGACAGGCATAAAAACCCATTTGTAGTTTTTCAAGTACGGACAAATTGTCCTGGTTTTTTTAAGAAGCTTTATATAATGTATGGTATTTATATGATGTCCACTAAGTTACTAAGTTTAAAATATAAAATTAATTTAATAAAATAACCTACGTCTACTTCTTAATCCACTTCAGTACTGAAAAATGAATTTAGCCATGATATATATATATATATTCAAAACTTTCATTATATCCAGCGTGTTTTCAACTCTATTATAAGAAATCTTGATTTCTCTTGTGTTTTATTTGAGTTAATTGAAATAGATATCTTATTTTTAATAAAATATAAAAGCTTTGTTATTATCTCTGCTAGATTATTGTTCTTTGCATCTAGCCAAACTTGAAAAAAATCGACTACTCTCACAGTATTTGGATTTATTTTTAATTTGCGTATATATGCGCAGCCAATTTTTTTTCAAATTATTAGTATATATTTATATTAGTTTGTATACAAAGATCTAGGGGACGCTTTTTACCGTCTTTTTTATTATGAATTATATTTAAAGTTCCACACTTCTTGAAGTAGCTGTTTCCCTCATATCTTTTGGCAAATAAATAAAAGTTTAGCATTGTTAAACAGAAAAGACTTCAAATCATTATCAAATTGACAACTTTTTTTTAAAGCAATTTTGTTTTCTAGAGTAGGGACTAAGCAATGAAATCTTAACAGTCGCGTCTCGTCTTAACAGTATCCTAAAGTCTCGACATAAACTTCAAACAATTTCTGTGTCTAAAAGTGGTTACATTAGGATGTAGTAGAGCGATTGTTCGTAGAAATTTCAGGAAACCACTTAAGAGATGAGATCCATAAACAAGAGAATCGCTGAAATAAGTATATTCAAGTTGCAGAAGCTGATATTAAAACTTAAAACAATTTCCACAACTTTATTTTTTTTTTTGAGAAAGATGTTCTGTTTTGCTTATGTTAATATCCATATAATATCATATCATATTTAAAAAAAATGAATTATTTCTGAAACTTACCAATAGAATACAAGATATGCCGAAAGGATAACACCATAATGAATTTTCTGAGGAGTTCACATATGCTATGAATAACGCGTCAGTTGATAACTTCACGAATAGTAAAATTCCTAAACGATAAAGTAGTCCGATTCTAGAGAAAAGACATTGTAAGAAATTTTCGCATTAATAAGAACATAATTGGGAATATAATTAATTTTATTTATTTCATAAATCGCAATTATTTAATAAAATTGTCTTACTAAGAGCTTACACACTTATCGCAGTGACACATTAATCATTACACATACGAGTGCTACTACTTAGAAAAGCAGGCGCAGAATCTATCATTGGCAATATCACTGTAGTCTGTATAATCGTACATTTTTTTAAAAAAATGTTCGTGTAGTGAAGACTACTCATTTTACATTTAAAATATGTCGACCTTTATGGCCTCAGCCCATTTTTATTTTAGCGCAGTTAACAGTAATGATGTCCATTTTATGGTCCCGGAAGAAAAAGATAATGAAACATACTTATGAATAAGATTTAATTTTTATATATCGTCAAGACATTGAGTAGGATCTTGGTGTGAAAGACAATAGCATTTAAATGTCTTCCGTTTGATATCTTATAATAGGGAATCATTTTGAGATAGTTTTTAATAAATTGAACAATAGTTTGGATATAATTAAATTAACCTTGTATTCAAAGTTCTGAAAGTTTAAAACTGTTCCCATAAACATGATCATTGTATAATATTACTAAAATAGTTTAGTCGTGACAAATAACCTGATCTTGGCATCAAGGAAACTTCTCTAGAAATGAAACCAAAACAAAACATATTGTGTAGTTTATGGCTTGAGATATTACACTGTTGAAATCACATGTTTTTCACATCCATACTTTAAACATTATGCCTATAAATTGGTAATCATGTGACTGGAGATTATAATTGATTGTTTGGGTCACACTTTCCCCCCTTTTTAAAAAGTACGGACCTATCATACGTCCGGATCAAATGCTTCTCCATGCATCATACAGTAAATTTCAATGGATATTATAATGTTTCGACAGTTACTTATGATATTGTAGTGCCCTAGATAGTTATTAAAGATTTACACTATAACATTTTATTTTGTTTATATTGATTTAACTTTAAAAATAATATTAGTTCAATCAACTAATTCAATTCAATTAATTCAATCAAGAATGAAACTTTACTTCGCTACTATCTTTTGGTATGATGATATAGATTATGCAAATGAATTTATTCTCAATAATTATTCCTGAATTTCTTCACTATTTTTTGCCGATATATTCACAATAATGATTACGTATTCGGTTCCTCGATCACTTCCTTTTTATCCAAGGGCTGTGACGTGGAACTACCACGTTTTCTAGAAAGCGATTCATGTTTATGTTTTGTATATTTGGGAAGCCTAAAAGTATGTTAAGAATTTTATAATTTGTATATTAACCGGTAAGAATACTCATTTAAGTAAATTTAATTGGAGTAGGAGTTATTTATATCAAATCTCTCATCAGAAAAATTGATTAAGGTAAATAACATATTTTTGTATTCAACTGTACTTTCGTAGAAGATTCCTTCTGCTATGCTACATTTTTATTAGCCTTAGTATTATCCTTGATTGGAAGCTTTTATTTAATTTATTTCCTGCGTTTTTCCTGTTTTCGATTTTTGGTTCTTGTATGGAAGAAGAATTTGCAAGGTTAGCAAATATTTTTGAATTGGAGAGCAAGTAAAACAGGTCAAAACTGTTTCCACAAATTATTTTACGTGTTTTTTATTTCAGTTGACTGCTGTTTTTTATGTTCGATTTCCAATAGAATATAATTTATTATTTATTTGTGTACTCTTTTTTGTATTGTCGGCGAAAATCAACTTACCTTCGCGCCATTGTTGCGTTGAATTTTTCTATGGCACGCGTTTGTACATTTCGATTTTTATGCCAAATCCACAAAAGCTTCTTGATTAAAATGGCAAATAGCGCCAGGAAGAGGAGAATGAAGAGCAAATCGACGCAAATAAAAATGATGAAACTTAAGGAGGATGTTGTATAGGCGTTACCATCGGCATTCATATCGGTGTTGGTTGTATCGGAGTTTAACCTGTGCTGATGTTGTTGCTGCGGATAATACCAATTTGCGGACGACGAGGTTGTCGATGATGAGAATGATGACGAAACTCCTTCCGCTAAAAAGAATGGTTGGCTTGTTGTTGTTTTTCCATTTTGAGATGACAGGAAAGGATTTGTTGTTGCTGTTGCTCTTGCTGTATTTGTCTCTATTAAATTATTATCACTGACGAGTGGTGGCATGTGTGTTAAAAAGTAGTTATTAGCGCTGCTACTACTTGAGCTTTGTTCATTGATGGAATCGCCACCCATCGATGTGGTGGCTGTGTGCGTCGTTGTGGTCATAATTTCCAACCACCAATTTTGTGGCCATTTGCCAATAATGCTGCAAATAAGCGGTGAAGTTATGGCAAACAATAAAGGCAATAACCAGCTTATGCCAATTGCGCCTCGTATGCCGGATGGCAAATTTGTTTCGACCGCAGCACCATGGTTCAATGTTCGGTTGTGGGTGGTGTTGTTTGCATTAGCGCCGGTTGTACTCGATCTGTTGCTGTTGCTGATTTGAGTTATATTTGTGATTACATTACCACTTGTGGCTTCGCAACGTTTTTCCAGTTCTTGCTGCTGTTGCTCAATATTGGAAACCACTATATTTGCTGTTGAGCACGTGAGCTGTGTGGCGTTTGTTGATGTTGCTGCCGCAGATACTCCTTTTGTAGAGTGCAACAGCTTTTTAGGAACTAGTTCTGAGTGAATTACCAAAGCAATCGCTATGAGTGTCGATACCCCCAATAGTAGCAATGAGGCTAAAGAAGAGCTAATAATGGCTTGCCAATTCTGTAAGTAGAAGAATAAAAATATAAAAATTTTTGATTTGAATCGGCATAGTATGAATATAAAATATATAATGCCGAATACTTCTTTGGCATGAAGTAATGCCTTATTAAATTTTAGGCATAGCGAAACGAAAAGTGCCTAAAGTATTTAATTGCAAGTAAAAATAATATTAAAAAGGATAATTTTATTTTGCTAAATGATAAATAAACAGCAAGACAAGATAAGAATGGCAAAAATCTGCTATTTCTGACAATGTAAACTGCGGAGTCCCTTGAATCCAGCATTCCTAATCTCAACACAAACAGCAGTTTCTGCTCCAAATAAACTGTACTAATTTTTTAAGACAAATTTTACTTTTAAATGTTTTCTCCATTTCTGGTTTCCTACTTGGGATTTTCTGTCCTGTTCTTCATAGTTAACTCATAATCACGAAACAGCAACCTTCAAGTGAGTACAATTTATTATTACCTTACATCTTGGGATTTAATTAAACAATAATACAAAAAAAGGAAAATTATATAAATTTTTAGAATTTTATTATCTCTCCGGAGGCAGACGTGGCTTCACTGGAAGGCGCAGTATTTTGTCTTTGTCCTGTCTTTAAGCAGAATGGATGAGTGCAGAAAAAAGAACTTAAGCACATAACAACGAAATTGCGAACCGGTGGAATTTCGTCCACATTTTAAAGATTTACGGAAAACACATCAGAGTAGTTTAGAGAATGTGGAAAAGCACACCCTGCTATAGTAGGGCGATGTATTACTTACCTTTATTATCCGGCTCTTCGAAGCAAAGGTAAAAGAATGTTAGGCAGAGGCAAAGGCACTGTATTTAAAATTTTCTTGTCGTAGACGAAATGGAAAAAGGAAAGCATATCAAAGGATGTTTGCGTAATTTTTATTAAAATTTAATGACGGTAGTTAAAGTGTTAAAGTGGCGTGGCGAAGTTCTCAAGAAATGCTCTTCATTTTACATTAATTAAGTGAAAATGTGTAACTCATTCTTCGTATTGAGTTTCTCTTTATTTAATAAAAGAGACCATTACTTCAAAGGAGTTAATTAAAATTTTCCTATTTCTTGTTATTCAAAAAGCAATTTTCACTATTGACATTATTTACACATGTTATGAAAGTGGTTAGGCATCACGAATTTTTTATGGTTGAGAAAATGGTTGAGAAAAAGATAATAGGAAATTATATTGACTTTTTTTTATTATATTGAGAATTATTAAAAATCAAATCACTTTAAAAATTGAAACCTATAATATGAGTACTGACGATAATTACAAGCTATAAGTACAGTCTTTACAATAATTTCGGAACCATTTTGTAAATTTCGGCATATAAAAAAATTAAACGTTTTGTTTAAGACCTATGAAGGTCTTTATGTCAAAAACTTCTTCGACGTCTAGAATATCGGAAAATTAATAAGCTTTTACTAATTCAGCAGTATATATTTATTTTCAGCGCAAACTTGAGCGCATTGAATACTGAGGATAGTGCTACACATATACTAAAGATTTATCTAAGAGTAAGTGAAGTATCTGCGAATTAATTCATCACTTACTCTGGGTGCTAAAGCTGCCAAAGAATAGTAATAAAGAAAAGACCGTTGCGGTACTGATATTGTTAGAGTTCTAACATATATATGATTTATAGTTTCCTTAAAGAGCTCTTGATTTAGACATGAAATTATGGAATATTTGATGGGAAGTTCATCACTGGTATAGAAATTAAGATTTTTGAATGAATTAATTTTAATATGTTTATAGATTTTTTCACAAAGTGCCTTTTTCGGGTGGAGTTCTTTTAAAAATTCTGTAAGTCGGTTTGGTAGGGGTAACGAATTCCCCTACCAAACAGATTGACTCGTCTTTTGAATCAAGGAACTCATTCCTAAAGTGAGAGTACTTTGAAACAAAACACCCTGTATATATGAGTACTCGTTTTATTGCATTAAATATTAATTTAAAATAATTAATCTAAAATAAAAACTCAAATACGAGTTGTGGAATAAAAGTCGTTTCTGCTGTCCATACAAATGTCCATATTTTTTGAAATTTTAATTTTAGTGGTAATATTAAAAACACCATTTAAAATAATTATTTTATTACGACAATAAAAAATTCTTATTTTAAGTAACTTCAGACCAGAAACATCTAAAAGCGCAACAGCTCCTTTTCCCTCTTTAATGAATCGAGAAAACAATTAAAACTAAAAACTGAAAGAAAATGCATACAAAGGATAACGAGCGTTAACAAATCCGCAAATTAAATTCAGTAAGAAATAAAAGCGTAAAAAGGGAAAAGAAAAAAGGAACAAAAGACTTAATGAAAATATGCAAACGCAAAATAAAAGGATAATAAAAAATTTATAAGAAACGGAAATGGGTTTAAGGATTTTCTAACTGATAAAAAAACTTTTCGAGCGGACAATATTCGTAGAAATATGAAAATCTACTTCGCAGACAATTTAATTACATATTCATACTGTTTGAATAGAGCTTAAATTTGAAGTTATTTAACGATTTCATAGTTAATAATTTCACATAAAAAGTCAGTAGTTTTTGGAAACAAGTACTAGTTTAATTGTCCATCAAAGATATCGGCTTACAAGTACCAGGAAGTGAATCCTATCAAATTTGAACCCTAAATTCGACTGTTAACACACAAGGCCACTCTATTTTTATAAAGAATTGAGTAAACCTAGAACCTTTGTATTATGTATGTACATTTGTATTAGCTGTTTAGACAAACCAAGAATTCACGTGTTTCAAAAACACATATTAAAAATTAAAATATTCCAAAAATTCCCTGTTATTGGATATAGAAATTTTCAACTACAAAATTTTAATTTTAAATTGCATACTAACTAAATACTCGTATGAAATGAATAAAGTATAAAATTATTTCCGTTTTTAATAAAGCTATAATGCAATAACTTTGCCTCCCACAATAACTAACTTTACAAGTTAATTACTACATTAATTAATTAATACAAGTTAATCAATTATAAAAAGACTCAGAAAACTGAATATACACTAAGTATGAGGACTTTGATTACTTGAAAGGTTGGCCTGAATCGGATTACTATATCTTACAGTTACCATATAAACTGAACAATTTGATATAAGTCTTCTCCTTCTTTAATATATATATTCAAAAAAAATACAGTACAGAATGTACTTAATATGTAAGAGAATGTACTAAATTTTATATACCATATATCGATTTAGATTTAGATATATCTAAACCATCAATTTATATTTGAGGAACACTTTATTATTTTTTTATGTATGTACTCTAAATTTGAAACTAAATCATATTTTATAGAATGCAATCTGTTTAATGATATTTGATTGGTCGGGTCGGACTTACATATAGTTAGCATACATTGTGACCGAAAGGTTTTCGGAAGTTCTCATTTAAAATTCGCGCGCTGTATATTTTTCGATATTTTAAGTTTATGTAGTTTGGCAGCACTGTCCTTAATTACTATGCCAAAAATGAGCGCGATCTGTCAGACAGTTCGTTTACGGCAGCTGTTGAAACCAGTTCCCCTCAGTAGTGCGTTGCGAAAAAACAATGGAAAAAAATATTGAACAAAGAGTTTGCATCAAATTTTGTGTTTCGAACGAAATTTCGTGTGCAGAATCGTTGCGAATGCTACAAAAGGCTTATGGGTAATCAGTTTTATCGAAAACTCAAGTTTATGAGTGGTACAAAGCCTTTCAGGACGGTCGTACGACCGTCGAAGACATGCCGCGTTCTGGACGACCTTCGGCCTCTACCACCGACGAAAACATTGAAAAGGCAAAGGAAATCGTGTTCCAAAATCCTCATGTGAGTGTTAGAGAGATAGCACGAGAGCTAGGCATCGGTCGTGAGAGCTATCCGCCGTAAACGGCCTCAATTGTGGAAGGATAATTCATGGATTTTTCATGACGATAATGCTCCCTCGCACCGAGCCAACATTATCAACGATTTTAAGGCCAAACATTCAATAAATACCATCAAACAGCCACCGTATTCACCTGATCTTGCACCGTGTGACTTTTTCCTGTTTCCCAAACTCAAATTACCACTCAGAGGAACGCGTTTTGAATCCATAGAAGACGAAAAACAGAATTCGCAGAGGGAACTCAAAGCCATACCGGAAAGCGCCTAAAAAAATGTTTTGATGATTGGAAGAAACGTTGGCATTTGTGGTATCGCTTCTAATGGAGCATATTTTGAAGGAGATAAAATAAATATTGATGAAGATTAAGAATTTTGCGTTTGTACATTGTGACCGGAAACTTTTCGGTCACAATGTATAAGCTGTCGACTGAGGGACATATAGAAAAATGTCTTTAACTTCAATGTATTTGCTTTCATTCAATAAATTATCTGTTAGAGAAGAGAATATTAGTGGTAAAACTGATATCGATCGGTTTAATTGATCATTTTCGATTGAATTTGAATACAATGGTCTTATAACTTAATAGCTTAGACTTATCTTATGCTATAATTTGTGTGCTACCTTTCACATCAAAAACTTTCCAACTTGATTAGCTAATGAAATATGAAAGCGTGAACAAACAATATATAGCAGCTCTGTTTAGCATTATTATATATTAAATTAAATATATGTTATGGCCGAGCTATTACCAGCAAGTCACCGAAAACTATGTTCTAAAGATTTAGTTTGTAAGATGTCTCATACAGTACATTTGATTGAAAATACATTTAAATTTTAATCGCAAGTGTAATTAATTTATCTTCAAATTTTTGGAACCATAAAAAACATAATCTTGTATATATACAAATAAGTACTAGTTTAAAACACATTTATGGTTTTCAGTTGTAGTAATTTAAAATAGTAATTTAATATAATAATTTTTCCGATATATAAGAAAATATATTATATGTTATGTTAGAGTGTAGAACTGCTTATTCATTGTTTATATATCAAATTTAAAATTGGAGTTCCGTACAATCCTATTGAAGTAGAAGTGAAATG